ACCAACTTAAGAAGGATGGCTTCATTTTCCAGGAAAGGACGAAACTCTGGCAGTAACTTGACAGCAACTGAGAATCAAAACAAAAAAATTACTTGGTTCTCCTGGGCAAACAATACCAAAAGCAGGAGGATCTAGAAAAAGCCTTAAACATCAGTTTATATATATAAATTCTATATAAAGCATCACTGCTCTATATAGAAGAAAGAGTCTGAGCCATGAAAAGAATGCGAAAATGACAAGAGAAGATGGTGACCACAGGGGAGGAACCATTACCCTAAAACCAGCAGGGATACAAACAAAATGTTGCAAAGAACTGCATCCTAGAAGAGTGTCAAGGTTTGACAGGATCTATCAGGAAAGCAGTCAGTAGAATATAAAACTGATGATTTCGATGAATTTCAAAATACTTCTAGTCCTGCTGATTGTCAAAAGCTTGCACAAAAAACATTACAGCAATGATAGCCACTGTTAAATAAATAAATAAGATAAAGAACTTGACAAGGATAATGCAGGTTGCAAAAGACAAGAAGTTGGAAAAAAAAGTCAGTCTGTTGGTAAGTACTGGGGTGCTACCTGCAGCAATGTCTGACAAATACGTTTCTTAATAAAGAGGGAACTTAATTTTAAAAGTATGGTTAGTTCTGATGTTGTAAGTATGTGAGCACGATTGGTGCTGTCATAAGAGGACTATGGAAAGTGTAGTAGCAGAAAAGGAAGCCAGTTAGTTTATGACCTCCCCTCTATCCTTCCATGAAGTTAAGTCATTCCAACCAACTCATTAACTTCTCTGCTTCTCCCTGAACTTTTTGAATCAGCTTTGACAGCTTCTCCTTTTATCACAGGGCTCTCTGTCACTTGGATTGCTCTAGCAGATCAAAACTGCTTGAGAGAAATTTCTTCCTTTCTTTCACCTTACTGACAGAACAAGTGGCAATGCAAAGTCTGAATGAACTCTAATGTCACACAATCAAAATAACATGGGTCAACCACAGAGCTGTGAAGTACCTCTGTTACTGCTTAGTCTTGTTCCTGTGAAGTCGTATTCAGCTTTGTATTTATTTATTTCTGTGTCTGTATAATCATTTTACCTCCAACAGCACAGCTAAGGCTTTGAGAATAGAAATTGTTTTTAGCTTTTTATTTTTCCCCTAGAACGCCATAAAAAGACAGAAAAGTTGGCAGAGTTCTGCAGAGATGTGCTCTCAGTGCCCTGCCTTGTTTCAGATTGCTGGAACAGAACTTACCTTACGAAATTGCTCTTTCATAGACTTTTATTTGGAATTAGCTCTTCAGAAAACCATACTGACACTAAGCTTGGAGCTCATGCACCACACATTTCTAAACAGGAGGGCAAGGTTTTTTTTTTTATGAAACACTCTTCTGCTTTTTCCAGTAATGAATCAGTCCTGTTCTGTACTGAGTAATCAAAGTCAAGAAATCATATTTGTTTCAGTTATAGAAGGTATTATAAATTAAAAAGAAAAAAAAAGAAAAAAGAAACACCACCACAATACTGGAAAGATGCCATCAGTCAAGTTGAAATAAGAAGATAAAAAAAACAGTAGACAGCACTTTCCTATAATAAAATATATAATCCATCTAGATGAGAGCAAAAATATGCTATTACCTCTCCATCAGAAATCAGTCTTTAAGCCTCCTCTTTGCCTTTAGAGATGGAACACCAAAGTCTAAGTATCTGTGAACTTGTACTTTTTAGTAAATTCTGTATTACTCCATGGTACTACTATACCACTTCCCAAAGTAGTAAATGTCCTAAAATATGCTCAGAACGAGGCAAAATTAAGGTTGAGATTGCAAACATGACTTCTGGAGGATTTTATTTTTCCACTTAAGCTTCTTTTAGACATAAATATGTTGTGACAAATGAATGCTTCCTCAATAATGCGTTACATGGGAGAGAAAAATCCTATTTATTTCTATGGCCAGTTCTCTCTCTTCTTTTGCTCTAACTTGAACAGCTAACACTGTTAACTGAGATGAACTAGTGTTGCAGGAAACTTTACTAAATTAAGGGAAGAAGCAGGATGTGCATTCCTGTTTTGGCTCACACTACTGTACTTCACTTTCCACCAGGATATTAAGAACAGTTAAGATCTTATGCTGCCTCATTCGTCATGTGAAACAGGCTCAGTTTTCTGTGGCAAGATACTCACATGCTTACACAGAAGAGAATTAAATGCTGTCATCTTTTTCCCATGACCGTTAAGGGATTTAAGGTTAATAACGGTTCAGCCAATCTTGCAGGATCAACACTGGAACATGTTTGTTGCAAACTTGGATTAAGATACATTGGCAGAAATCCACAGCAGTGAAATTTGTCCAGTGAAATTCACACTTTACTACTATCTAAAGCCTTACCACATTCCACTAGGACAGCATTCCTTTAAAAAGTTGACCTTTGTAGGGAATTATATGTGCCATGTCATCCTGGGAATTACTGAACAAATATTAAATACTTACTGAAACAGAATAATTCAAAAGAAATAGGTAAGTTTCATGCTTTTGGCACCATTTCTAGTCTTTAAAGGGAGGTAAATCTTTGTCACATAATTTATCTTCCCAGAAAATCGCACGGCTCCCCTTTTTAGCAATAAAGTGATGAAAAAATCAAGTGACACCATCTCTCAACTGACGTAAATGAAGTAGTAAAATGGCAAGTCTGAAAACATAAGAATATTTGAAATTCACTCCTTTAGATCTAAAAAGTGTTGGAGTAATTTTATTTAAAATTTAATCTATCTGGCTTCATAGGCTATATGACTGCTGATTTTTTTTAAGAAAAAAAAAAGGTTACAAAAGACACAGAAAAAGCAGAGTTGCTGAATGCCTTCTTTGCTTCAGTATTTACCAAGCGCAGCCCTTTAGAGTCCCAGGCCCTAGGGACAAGAGAAGAAGCCTGGAGAGAGGAAGACTTGCCCAGGGTAGAGGAAGATTGGGTCAGAGAGCACCTAAGGAAACTCGATACCCACAAATCCATGGGCCCTGATGGGATGCACCCCAGAGTGCTGCGTGAGCTGGCAGAGGTCATAGCTAAGCCGCTCTCCATCATTGAAAGATCCTGCAGAACGGGGGAGGTGCCGGAGGACTGGAAGAAGGCCAATGTCACACCAGTCTTCAAAAAAGGCAAGAAGGAGGACCCAGGCAACTACAGGCCTGTGAGCCTTACGTCCATTCCTGGAAAAGAGATGGAATGCTTATACTGGCACATGGTTGTCTCCAGGCACATGGAGGACAAGAAGGTGCTCAAGAGTAGTCAGCATGGATTCACCAAGGGGAAATCTTGCTTGACTAACCTGATAGCCTTCTATGATGGAATGACCAGCTGGATAGATGAGAGGAGAGCGGTGGATGTCGTCTATCTCGAATTCACCGAGGCCTTTGACACCGTCCCTCACAACATTCTCCTGGGCAAGCTCCGGAAGTGTGGGATAAATGAGTGCACAGTGAGGTGGATTAGGAATTGGCTGGATGGCAGAGCTCAGAGGGTGGTGATCAGTGGTGCAGAGTCTAGTTGGAGGCCTGTAGCTAGCAGTGTCCCCCAGGGGTCAGTCCTTGGTCCAGTCCTGTTCAATTTATTCAT